ACAAGTTATAGGTGTTCAGAAATCAAAAGTTCTCTAAACACTAATGAGCCAAATTTCAGTGCTTGTTACAGGTTGTAATTGGATGATTATGAAGGTTTATTGTTAGTACACTTATCAATACGGACTGTAAAAATATGGAAAAATATGGAGAGTGAAGCTCTCACCGCAGGGAACAAGATACATATTTTTATTTATTTTTTGCCCTTCTCCTGGCCTCTCAAGATTTTTGTGTATCAATAATTTAATTTTCTGCCCAGAAAATATTATATTTTGTGTAGTGGTACAAGTACGACACCGTTGGAAGACGGAAAGTGAAACGTTGTATGAGGTATTGGTGAATAGCGGTGGGTATAGCAGGAATTGTAACCGCAAAGAAAACCAATAAAGCCCATCTAGAAAGATTGCCCGACAAAGCTGATCGAACCATTGTCCCGTAATCATATGGGTACGTCAGTCACCAGCTTCATATAAACCAAGGATCATGGGCTTACGTAAGCAAATCCGGTTGTGTGTTTGTAAGGGTTTTTGAGGAGGTCAAAGGAGATTGATATGAGCCGATAGTTGCAAAGATATGGTCGATATAGTGCTGAATAAGTTGGAGAGCGGAAGGACCAAGAGTTTGACTGACCCTACCCTTGGCCGTCCTTTGTTACTAGAGGGTTTGCACGTAAAGCCTTTATGTGCAAAGCCTTATGTGTGCCTTTCAAAGCAACACGCACTCTAACTTAGTCGAGAGACCCGAATCCACTGAGTCATTTACTCCGCTCTCCCTGTTAAGCGTTTGACTGTGCAAGTCTGTGAGCGCGTATCACGTGTTATCCTGAGCACGAGAAAGGCAAAATCCCAAGAGCCTCAGGCTCAGAAGCTCTCAGTCAGAGCACCCGTGAATCAGACAAAAAAATAGCCTGACCCATCATATTTAATGGCCAGCGGCTCTGATATTGGGCACTTCAACTCCTGAAATTTTGACGTAAACGTATATTAAAATCACCTCTAGGAATCTTCGCTTGTACAAACCATTGCCTCGAGTCCTTAACCGTCATGGCCACGATCTCCAATTACGATTCATCATCAACAAACATGAACCCCAACTGGCTCACAGCCAGTATAGACTTGTCAAGCGACGTAAATGACAATGCCTCCGACACCAAACCTCCACCGCACCAAGCACCCGATCATGATTCAGTTCCTTGTTGGCGCCACGTTTGGCCTTTATGTTATATATTAGCATCTGCTATTCACAGTGCCCGTGGAGAAGGCCCCCGACGTCGGGGGCCCAACAGTCTTGGCGAGTGTGTCGCATTTGTGTGATTTTTGTGTCACAAATGTCTACAAATGTACACAAAGGGCAAAGATTGCATGAACATCACCTAGGCTGAACTTCATCAGCCTGAGTCAAGACTCAGGCAGACTAGGAGACAAGCAGCTCTGAACGCTCAGTGTTACCGACTGAACGCTTGTTTTTCTCTACTGAACACTCAGCGTTCCTCACTGAACACCTGCAAGCTCCCTACGAACTATTCTTCCCCCGAGGAAAGCTATGTAGTGATCGTCGCCCGTTCTGGAGAGCCAGCTCACACGTCCGAACACGCCTGCGGGGTCAGATCCTGTCAGATCAGAAAAGTAAGTTCATCACAAGTTTATCAACCTTTATTCTATTCGTTCTCTAGTCAACTAGAACATTTGCTCATTCTGAAATTGCCATGGCCAATGTATTCGACCGTATCATTAAATCCTCAAAATATCCATTTCTGCTATCTAGAATCAATAGAGAAGATGGTAAAGATTTATTTAATTTAGATAATCTATGGAAGATTTTTGGCAAAGTTTTCAATTACCATTTGCAACAGCACCTGAAACAATCCATTTAGGTAGATGAACAAGTGATTCAAGGAACAGCAAAAGAATTATTATCATTGAATGGTTGGGCGGCTGCTGCTTGTACAACACTTACTAGACCACTTGCAAGTGATGACAAAGATCCTTATGCTTACCTTCTGAAACCTGGAATGAGATATTTGTTGCTGCTATAGTAGTCCATTCAGCTGATCATTTCTTTATGATCAATTAGTTCATTGATTCATTCAAGAGAAAAATGAAAAATCTACAAAAAAAATAAAATCACAAGAAGAAAGTAAAATGCTACAAAAGGGTTTTTATCTATATCTATATATGATAAAAAAAGGTGATTAAAAGTTTTAGAAAAAGCAAAAAAAAAGCAAATCAATTTAACAAATCCAAAAAAAACCATCAGCCTATTTATTATAAAATCTTCTTTTCTTTCTTTCTTTTCATTGAAAAGAAAGAGAGAATAAAAAAATGATTAATAAACTAAGTAGGTTGATGAGCGAATTGAATCTTAAGTAAATCAAGTGGAGAAGTTCCAACACTAGGATCATGATGTTTTAAATTCCCCCTACTAGTACTAGAACCATTTTGATCCTGATTATGATTAACGAATTCTTCATCATGATCTTCACCAGAAAGAGATCCGATTTGAGAATGAAGTGGGATTGAACCATAATGATCATCATTTTGATAATGAAGTTGTTGTTGAGTAAAGGAATTGATATCAAATTTGTCAGTTGGATAATGGTTTGATCCAGAAGGTTCTTGGAATGATCGATCTGTTTCTTGTGGTAAAGTATTCATGAAGGTTTCTGATGGTTTTGATAATGGGGTAGGAAAGGTTAATTGGTATCTAGGTTTAGTTAAATGTGGTAATCCAACCGAATTACTCATCCTACTATTCGATCTGGGTGGTTGTGCTTGTTGTTGTGATGATCCATATGTACTGATTCGACTATTAGATCTAGATTGTTGTCCAGCATATAAGCTTGTCCTACTATTCGATCTAGATTGTTGTTGGTGTGCAGGATAAGTACTGATCCTATGATCCATCATAGAAGGTCCGAAATCAGTTGATCCATTCCTTGAAAGACTTTGTTGATGAGATTGACGTCTAGTAGCTTGTTTCAAAGTATTAGTAGATAAAGTTGAATGATCCTTAGTTAAAAGTAATGGATTCATCGGTGGTAAAGGTGATCTTCTTCCAATCGAATTTGTTGTTGGTGGTCCTAATAAGATTTGTCGACTTTCATCTGATCCATTCTCTAATGCAATAATCAAATCTTGATGAGTAGGTGAAGTTTTTTGACTTTCATCATGATGATTTGATGGTAATACAGATGACATTGATCTATTCTCATAATCTTGATCTGGTATTGGTTGATTTAATAAATTGTTTCCCATTGTATATGAACCTAAATCTGATATTTGTTCTTCAACATGATGATATTGATTTGCATGATTATGATTATAATAAATCGAATGTCTTGCTAAACTTGCTTTTGAATGATATTGATGTGATCCGATTTGATTATGACTCATCATTCTTGAATCAGTTGAAGGAAGATATCCAAATGAAGCTGTAGTAGTACTTGCAATTGTTGTTCTGATGGGTTTGAAAATGTGTACAATGTAAGCTTTTGTTTTCAAAATTTGTGAATGAAGAAAGAAAAAAGTATCAGTATACATACTATTGAACTTGAGAATGGAGTAGAAAGGAAAAAATACTCAACAAGATATTGGTAAAGCTAAGAAGTGTTGCTGATAAAGCAGCTCCACCTGCAATAGTCTTTGAAGTTATATATTTAGTCAACCAATATGATGCTTATCCCATCAAATATGTAGACTCTAAAATTTGACGTAAACAAAACCAAAAATTAAATATTAGCTTCATTTGTTCAATGAGTGTTAAACAAAACCGAATCGAATATTAGGTTCATTCATTCAATGAGTGTTTGATTAGGAACAATCAAGATGAGAATTGTCAAAGAACCTCATCAAATTTAGGAGACGTAAGAGCGAGTGTGTAAGAGATTGAGATTGAGGCAATGAGAGCGATAAGAGTGACGGTCGAGTTGAGAGTGACATAGTCAATAGGTTTGCTTGTGTTTTTGTTTTTGTACTTGAATCTGGTGATGAAAACTAGCGTTCTTGCATTTGGGACAGGATCACAGCTTTTAAGAGACCAAGCTTTCTAGTCAACAATCGAAAGAAAAATAGTTCGAGTTCCAACCTTTTTGGAACTATGAACAACTAGATTCAAATCATTATCATCGACTACTAAGATTCTGATTTTCAAAGGTGAAGTAGTAGTGATAGGATTGATAGAGTTTTCAGGCTGTTTACCGTAAGAATGAGTATGAATCTGAGAAGTCAAGTGCAGGAAGGTGCCGGTTGATCGAGCGCTCTGAGGGTTGAGCGGTATTAAGCTGCGCCTCTGCTTGCGCTCGAGAAGGTCCGAGGAAGGCGGGCGAGGTGCTGGGAGCATCGATGAAGAGGAAGGTCCAGACTTTGGGGATCTGTTTTGGGCTACCAGAGAAGGCAAATAAATGAGCCCAAAGCGTGATCGGAAAATTCGA